ACTGTGCACATGTTTTTTTTTCAGTGACAGATGGGACACATTGTACGTGGATGCAATTGCTCAGCAATACCCATACTCATTGGTTTGCAGTGACCTTATGAATTGTATTGGAGTTATATAATTGACTTACAGGATGGCGATCGTGATCTATGAAGACGGACATCCTCAGTTGCTGGACTGAAGCCCTACTTTGGACCTACTTACTCTTTGCCGAGTCTTGATTGAGATGGAAAGACCCCAGTAGCTGGATCTAGCTTTCTAACTCTTTCTGGACCTTAGTTATGTGAACTTTAATAAAGGCTTTGAAAGAGTATACGAGCCGGGAACGACAGAGCACACCCTGTCTCCATGGTATACTGTGTCCATCTTTGTAAATCGTTCAGCTATTTAAAGCCGATCTGGAAGAGTGCCACCTGTTGGTGAAGTGATTGCACGTACAATGTTTGTGCGGCCAATCAGAATAGGTGATACAGTAGTCTTGGGTAGAGGGGAGATAACGGTGAAAGGGGTCTAATCTTAGAACAAGATCAACTGGTTACTGCATTAGCCGCCCACTTCAAATCAGCCTGTTTGAGCTGAATGCGAATGTGGTTTATATTACATATTTTCACAGTGAAAAATATGTAGGCTTATAGCAATACCAGAGCAAGTAAAAAAAAAAATACTAAATGGTTTTTGACCGTGAGGCAGAAAGCCGTCACAGAGGTTGACAAAGGGCGTGGGTGAATAGACCTTTCCTTTTAAAAGGTGGAGTTTAGTTGTTTTGCCAATTCGATAAGTGTCATTACGTAAGTGCAACAGGAAAAGTAAACACATACCAAATCATAAGGAAACGAAAACAATGCGAACCGCAATATCGTCCTTAGATATTTAATCGTAATCATCGTGACGCTTATATTTAAAATGCTTATTGAAATTTTGTGCGCTTTTACGATGTTACCGACGGCTTCTTCGTTCTTTGGAAAACATCGTTTTTTTAGACACCTTACTTTTTAGACAAATTTTTAAATCATAAATAAAAACCTTAGCATATCTGAAATGGTTGCTAGAAAGACTTGCGCGAGTTTTCATTTGTATAAGTTATTAAACATTTACAAAGTATGTGAAGTAAATAGCCGCAAGAGCTGCAACATTTTTCTTCATTTGCATTTTTGTAGATCACAGAAGATATGCTGCAATGCAGCTTGTGGTCACAGAAATTTTTTTAATATCAGAAGATGCAAGAGCTATCCCCAATTCGGCAGTGTACTCATAGTCACCCCACAATGAACAGTGATAGTTTTACCTTAAACTGTTTAACTTACCTTATACTTAATTTCCTTGCGTCTCAAATAACAAATGCGGTTTAACTGAAAAGCAGCCTACTGTATAGGTAAAACAACATTGATCAGAGGTAGAAAGTTAAGGTTCGGAAAGTTACATATCCAGACCAAGATTTTGTTTCAACCAACCAGCTGCGTATCTGATCATGACGAAGAGTCACGTTCACAAAGTATTCAACTGGTTGGCTAAAACAATATCTTGGTCCGGATTTGTATTTTCTGGACCTGAAATTGCACTCAACAAAACCAACATTGCTCCACCACAACGTAGAGCTTAAAAGCCTTAAATGGAGACAAGGTTCCTTGGTCCTTGTGACTAGAACTGCACTGTTTGCAATGCGTAAATCGCTATAGCGAGGGCTCTGATTGCACACTGTAGTGTGTGATTTAGTGTGAATGTGCAGAGCATGCTTTGCAGACGGTGCCTTTCTTAATCGCACACTTGGTGGGTGCTGTCGGCTTTAAGTGTTAGTTGATCAACTCGTTTTCACACTATGCTGCCATCAGCGATGGTCTAAAGAAACCAACTGGTTCATTTCATTTGCGGGAACTGAAATGGTTTTGCGGAGGAAAAGGCGTCAGTCCCTAATTACAGCACAGCTCATATCACCCAAGTATAAGCGAGTTTATTCACAGACTTCTTGTTCTTAGTCCATTAACCAGTAAGTGATCCCGGCAAAAATCAAATCCTACTGAAAATAAAGGAAATCAAATGCAACAACTGGCAGTTAACTGAAACAAACATATCAACTTCACAGTATAAAAAATACACCATACAGTCATCTACACTCTGTGATTCTATAATGAGTAAGCGCTGGAAGAAGGGAAGGACGGATGGATGGTCTTCTGTGTCCCTCAATTCTGAAAGCGACGGTCTAATAATGCCTTAAAAACACAATCTGTTGGATATGTCAAGTTTTGGACTTGACCTTCAATCTGACATCTATTACATGGTGTTCCGATAACGTACACGAAACTATGCAGTTGCGTTTCCCCTCTTCCGGGATCTGAATGAATCTGATCATGACAGTCAGGAATATAATAAGCATTTAAGAAAAATAAACGCGCAAGGAGTGTTTTTTCAGCATGCTGAATAATATTTATTTTTAAACTAGTTTATAAAAATAAAATATAAAACTATTTTAAAGCAAAAAAAAAAAAAAAAACGCTGTACAAGGCATTGATATGGTACAAATGGAAAACAATAATTACAGCTCTTATATACAATCGCGACTCATTCTCCTACATTCAGTTCCCGTAACTGTACATTCAGTGACAGCAATGACAAAGAATAAATAACAAAAATACAGTAAGGCGTCATATATGTCTAGATAAAAACATAAGTGTTACTGTGAAATGAACAAAGGCTGACCCTGCAAGTGTGGCCAAGCGCAGAAAGTGACAATCTGCCTTCTGGGTGGTGAAACGGAGGGGTCAGAGGGTCAGCCATACCAGCAGTACCAGGAATAGACACCCCGATCCAGACACATGGCTGATGCAGTCCCCTGCCTGTCAAAGACAGGGCCGAGGTAGCCTGGACAACAGTGGGGGACAACCAGGGCACTGACACATGGAGTGGTATAGGAATAAAATAAACAGGAATAAATTAAACAAAAATAATACAACTGGAAGTGGACAGAAGCACAAGCCTGAAGTCGCCAATACACTTTGAAACTAAAACGTCTGGAGAATCTGAAGGATAACTTTTGAATTGGTTCACCTGCTGCTTTGTTCACCTCCAATACCACTGCACATATTGTAGAGTTATAAACCTGTGCACTTGTAAGCACCTCTATTAAATATGTCTAAGTATATTGTTAAAGTTGCAGCTATCCCGTTAGCATATCTATACATACAAAAACAGAAAGACAGAAACTGATTACAGAGAGAGAGAGAGAGAGAGAGAGAGATGTGGACGTAAAGAAAGACAGAGAGCAGCTCGAGTCGTCTGTTGAGTTGCAGTCTCACTTAGAGGATCAGTGAGGATCCGGACTCCTGTGGTCATTGATACATAGCTATCTGTACATTTAAACAACCACAAACACTCAGAGGAGTCGGTAGGAGGGCTGAGCACATGATTTAATCCCCTTCCTATGTGGGTAAAGAACCACACATGCCTCAGCATCTGGTAACATCTGCCCAGGGACAAAGGGGAAACTCTCCCTGTCCCTGGTGAGGAAAACTTCCTTTTACGTACGGTTAGCCAGAGAAATAATAGCTTTTAAAGGTCCAATAGGCATATTTCATGTCAGCAAACCGGTCAGAACAACATATCAAGCGTGTTCATGTTTCTATCCGGTTTGGTCTGCTAGCGGTCAGATCAAAGGTTCTGCAGATGGGGAAGCAGCCATAGCATCTAGACTGAAACAATGCAAGTTTTAAAATGCTACACTTACCTGCTGTTTACCAACAAAGACACCCAAACCAGGTCTGATATTTAGTGAACATGAATACGTCTGGAACACATGGCACCCAGTAGGCCAGTCATATTTATCTGCAAACATATGTGCTTCTTTGACAGACTAGCCAGCATTTCATTTCAGTGACAAATTCCACATATTCCTCTTTTTTTTTATTAGCCCTGGCATGCAAAATGTACCAGATATGGTGGATTATGCATTCATATATGCATAATAAACAGTGGCTATGTTTGCAGAAAGTCAGTCAAGCACATGAGATATTTTCCTGCTGGCATACAGTAGATGTTATATTATGCGGCACACTGCATGATGGGAGTCACAGGCATAGTTTAACAGCGGGGGGGGGGGGGGGGGGGGGGGGTGGTTGGTTAAGGACATTATACATAGCAGTCAGGTGACAGACTGCCTGTAGCTGCAGGTATGGGATTACGGCACATCTCACAAAGGGCGCAGTTTGTCGGGGCGGATGCAGACGCTCGTGGTGCATGCAGGAGTGCCTGTTAGATTTCCATCTACAGCAGCTTAGGAAGCAGGACAGAGAAGAGGCGTCAGTCGGCCACTTAATCGCGGCAGGATTCAAAACTCTCCACAACGCCCATCTCCGGCGAGTAACGCTTGAGTTTTTGGCATACAGGTAACACCCGACCGATGGAGTACAGGACTCTTACTGTTCAAGCAAAAGGTTACCGTCAGTTAGAGCAAGTGTACGGGGGGGATTGTAGGCCGGGGTCAGCGCTAACACACTAAGAAGCATTTTCTCTCGGGTCATGGGTTTCAGTCAAGGCTGGTTGCTTGAGGCAGCACTTAATACTAAATAATACAATTAAATATTACAAGAATTTCATTTGTTTTTAACCCACTGATTAGTACAAGTACAAAAAAACAACACCCCTCCCCCCTCCCCGGAAAAAAAAAAAGAGTGAAATCTGCCCAGTTACATGGAATACTTTCTTGTAGTGTGTGGTGAAGGTTTTAAACTCTCTTTGAAAAGCAGGAGTGTAGACTGGAGCGCAGCACTGCCCGGCTGGGTCTGCTACCAATCACATGCATGTAGTGTCAGAACACTCATTAGTACAGTCATTAGTACAAGCACACAGGCACTTAGCACAGGGGCTAATACCCTTCTGTCTCTATCAGAGGTACTCAGCGACACACTCTAGAGGCCATCTGGAGAAACACCACCTCAGGCAGCAATGCTACATGCTTCTTTTTTTTTGGAAAAATGGGCCATTCCACAGTCCTTTTGGGGGAACCTGAAATTCCCAGATTTATCGACCACAGAGGGCATGGCACCATATGCTTTGGGGGGGGGGAGTCAAAGGAGCATTAACCTAGCTGGTCATGTCAGCGGTGTATCAAGAGTGAACCTGGTGCATTACACCCCCTGGAAATAAAATAAATACCTATGCAACTGGTATACAATTACCATAAAATGAAATACACCCAAATAAATGCATCTACACCCCAAACTGGAGCTTAGTTACAGTCAGAATTACGTGAGTTTCTGAGTTGCGTCACAAGCCTTCTCATCTTTGGGGCCCCCCAGATTCACCCCAAACATTTACCTATATTTCCAGCTGGGCACCTGGATCAGGAAATCAGGGCCAAAGTTATTACAGCATAACCCCATGCCTTGGGATTCAAACCGACAACCACTGGCATATAAGCCCAATGATCTGCTGTCATATCACGGTTCCTTCCTCAGATCTCTACACAGTCATGCCCGATCAAACACCCCTCACACCGCCCACGAAACCACAACGCATTTGGCCTTCTGGGGGCGGTGGTGCACAGGGGGGCGGGGGCACTGTGCCAGACCTCCTGGGGGAGCCAGTTTCGCTTCAGATTCCGGACATGTGTCTGACTTTGAAGCTGGAAATAAAGCCACTGTGACCAGAGCGCAGGTGGGACACACATCAGGGCCCGTGAGTGGCATACGGCAAGGGGGCGGGGAACCAGGCCCAGTCGTCCAATGAGAAGGCGGCACACAGGAAGTGGGAGGTACGCAGTTCTGCCAATTAGAATCTGTCCTCATGTCTGGGGGGGAAGAATAAAGACCTATAATCTGACCTAACAAAGCTGAATAAATAAGTTATTAAATATGTAAAGGTGAGAGGGAGGAGAGAGCCAGAAAGCAACCATCTGTAGTGCGAGAGAAAGAGAAGTGGGGCAGCCCAGGTGTGTGTGTGTGTGTCTGTGTGTGTGTGTGTGCGTGCGTGCGTGCGTGTGCGTGCGTGTGGGTGTGTGTGTGTGTCTGTGTGTGTGTGTGGGTGTGCGTGCGTGCGTGTGGGTGGGTGTGTGTGTGTGTGGGTGTGTGTGTGTGTGTGTGGGTGTGTGTGTGGCATGGGGTTATTCACTTATCAGGCCGCACAGCCCAGCCCGTTGTGACAGCACTGTAGACAGAGGACATGGCCAGGATTTGGGCTCTGGGGACTATCTGCTCAGCTTAGTGGAGCACTTCCCCTCGCGGCCACAGCCTTTGCCCCGGGGCGGTTGGAAGGAGCTAGGGCAACGGGGGGGGGGTGACCCCGACAGACTGGGTGGCGAGCGGCTCGCACCCGTGCTCCCGCCGCAGTGTTCATGCCGGGAGGGGGAGGAGCTGATGGAGCGCTGGAAAGAGGAGCAGCTACGAGGGGAGGCGCTGGAGCTCCGGTGGGCTGGGGGCGGAGCCCCATGTGATGACGCCCTCACGAGGGCGGGGCCCCGCACCCTGGGAATGCCCCCGCCGCCATGCACCAGCTGGGCTAGGCAGCTGAGAATATCAGCATCGCTGGCACTGCTTGCGCGGACCCGGTAGCGACGAAGCCTGGGGGATGAACGACGGGCGCATGTTAGACACGCACAGCGCCATCTGCAGGCCACAGGGGGAACGCCTCTTACCTGGTGTCTGCAGCAGAACGGCTAGGCGGCTTTCCCGGGGGTGGGCGTGGCAGAAACTGGCCGGTCGTCAGCTGCAGTGGGGGCTCCGGGGGAATGGGCCGGGGGATTCTGCTCTTACGAGGCTGCAGGCCACACGAGGAGGACAGCGACGGGGCCTCCTCACCTGGGTGGGACTCGTCATCCTGGGAGCGGTCCGACAGGAGGGGCGCCCGCAGGTCGCATGCGAGCGAGGCGTGGGGGGGGTTCCCCTTCTTATGCAGCAGCTTCTCTTTGGCAGAGGGAGATTCTGACAGGGAGCCGGGTTCGAGGACGGGGATGCGGCTCAGCCGACGGGTGGGGTCTCGTCGTGGGGCGAGGGATGCTCCTGTCGTGTCGGCGCTCTCCGCCACGTCTCCATCCACGTCTCCATCCACGTCTCCATCCACGTCTCCATCCACCTCCTCTGCGGGGAGCTGGCTTGGTGCATCTTCAAGGGGCCCTGGATTGGTCATGGGCTCCTCCGGTTCAGCAATGGCCATAGCGATGTCACCACTCTGCGGCTCTCCGGGGGGCGAGATCTGCCCATTGGGGATGGCAGGGCTGAAGGGTGACTTGGGGGACAGCGGGGACCGCGGCGATGCTCTCGGGCTTGGCACAGGACTGGCATCTTTCTTGGCAGATTCTCCATCAGGAATCTGATCGCTCTGAGGTGGGGGAGGGCTGCCGGGACGGCTAGGGGGGCGAGTGGCTTCAGGGGCTCCGCCCGGGGATGGGACGGCATCGTCACACTTCTCCACCAGGGGGGACTGTGGGGCACTGTCGGAGGCACACTGGGAGGATGGTGTGGGGGGGCTGGGTGCTGTCAGCTAACCACAGAGACAGGGAGGGAAATAAATGCGAATCTTCTCAGCACACCGTGAGTCTGGAGGAAAGGAGGGGGCACAATCGAGCACATCACCAGTGTGTGTGGGGGGGGGGGAAGAGTGACCACAGCACTATGGCACAGACTGACACAATGAGCAGGAGGCTCGAAGCACACAGACACCAGGACCCAACACAGAACTTCTAAATAAGGCGAGACCGTATAGCCAAGGAGAGTGGACAGACCAACAAGAACAATGAACGTTCACCTCGGCCATGCGGGGCACTAGAGGAGAGAGGGAGAGAGGGGGGGAGACAGCATCAGAAGGCGAGGATGCTGTGAGGCGCGCCAGCTAAGTCTGTACCCGGGGCGCTAAACCCCAGCCCCCCAATCACATGACAGGAAGCTTTAATGCTTGGCCAATCAGAGCTTTATACATCAGCCAAATACTGTCAGATCATGTTAGATGGCCCATGAGGGGGATCTGCGAATGCTCTCTCATAAAACGGGGGTGTTTCTGCATGGTGGGAGCTGAGCAGCGAGGGCATGGGCGGTGCTCACCTGTTGGAGCTGGGCGCGGGTGATGCGGATGACAGAGGGGAACTTGGCATTGGCTGCCCCCGCGGGGATGGCCGGCAGCCTGCGGTGCACAGACAGGGGGCGCTGTTCTGCATACTGGCTGCGGTGCAGGGGGTCTGACAGGGTGGTCGGCACGGTGTGGGGACTTGGGGAGCGGAGGAGCTGGGGACTCGAGGTCTGACTCGCGGGCTCCTCAGGGAGGGGCTGCGAGCAGAGTGGGGGGGAGCTGGTTTAAATGCTAACATCTGCAAAAACCCTGGTCTGAAACACCCACACAGAATATCCTGCAGCAGCGCTGAAAGGCTCGGTGAAGGCGGTGACAGGTTTTGGGGGCTGTCTAAATGCCGAGCCGTCTTCAAGAGCCAGGATTTAGTGACACAGAGGGGATCACAGCTCTATCGCTTTAAGACTCCTCACTGACTCCTCTCCAGAGGTGGAAAGTTCAGGTCCAGAAAGTATAAATCCAGACCAAGATTTTGTTTTGACCAGCCAGTTGAGAATAAATAGTCACATTTACAGAGTAATAAACTGGTTGGTTAAAACAAAATCTTGGTCTGGATTTGTACTTTCTGGACCTGAACCTGAATAAGCCAACCCACCCAAATGTCTGCGGTCCTAGCACCCCGCAGGTCCTATCCCAAAGCCACTTCCCTACCTGCACAGACGTCCCCTCAGGTTCAGCTGGGTCAGTTCTGGTGCTGGGGGGAGGTATTCCAGATGGTTCTGCCTTAGGTTTCAGGCCTTCCCCCGGATCCTCTCCTCCCGCCGGCCCCTCTACCCTCAGGACCTCTGGCTCCTCCTCCTCGGGGCTCCTGGGGGCCTTGCCACCGCCCTGGTAGTCACGCAGTTCCTGCTCACGGTCCACCATCACCCAGTCCGGCGAGGCCGGGTCCAGCCGGTCCGAGCTCAGGTGGACGGCCACGAAGCCGCTGCTGACCACACCCTCCCCCCGCTCCGGGGAGCCCGTGCCCTGCGTGGGCTCCTCGCCTGCTCTCCCGGCCTGCTCCTCTCGTTCAACACTGGGAGGCCCTGACGCCATTCCTCCTTTGTTCTCCTTAATCTGCAAGGAGCTGCCGAACTGCTTGATTAAGCTAAAGAAAAAGAGAGAGAGAGAGAGAATATTATTATTATTTTTCTGCCCTCACTGTAACAGCTGGATTGTAACTCCAGGTTGTCACCTGGAGGCTCCTGACCGCAGCCCTCATCAGCCCCTCCACTACATGCTGTGGTAATAACCGGCCGGCTAGACAGGCGCTACTGACTAGGCCTCCAGGAAGCGCTCAGTGCTGGGCTTGGGCTCCAGTGTCAGTCTCTTCTCCAGCTCGAAGCTGTGAATGTTGCGCAGTTTCCTTAGCAGCGGGGCCTCGCGGTCCGGGGGCAGTGCCTCGGAGCGGACACGCAGCGGGGACCCCGGGATGGGCCCCGCACACGGACTCTGGGGGCCCGGGCTCTGCGTATGCTCGTCCTCGGTGGTCATCTGTCAGGGTCAGGGATGTCAGGGTTACTGCGCGACCCGTGGAAAGTTCCGGCAAGATGACCCGGCTTTTCACGGGGAGTAGGCCAGCGCTGTCCCTAGGTCCCGACCTGGCTTTCTAGGGCAAAAACGACCCACGGCCACCATGTGACCAGATACACATTTTTTTTTTGGGGGGGGGGGGTGGTGGTTTCTGGACAGCAGCACCTGATAAGCGTGCTCCACGTACCTTACAGATGCCCAGTCGGATGCGGGTGCGGTTGCGGTCGAATTCCTCCCAGACGTCAGCCTCCTGTGGGCGTGGCGCTGAGCGCTCTGGGACGCCATGGTTGTCGCCGTCGCTCAGTTGCTCATCCTGCAGAACCTCCTCCGTGTTCTCCCGCTGGAGGTCACCCGGGACCAAGGAGGCGTTGGCCATGCTGTGGAGCACCGGGCAGCGAGTCACGGGGGGAGAAGACCAGCAGTCAACCCCCCTGCAGCCCCTCCCCCCAGTGCAGGCAGACGTTACACCAAACTACTTTCGGCACCAGGAATCAGACTGGGAGATGACGATCATTTTATAGCAGGGCACACATTGGCTCCCTTTGTTCCCTGTTGATGAGGTCATGTCCGTGCCAGGGAGTGCTTACCCCAAGTGCGCGGGTGTGAAACGGGTGTGCTGCTGGGGGGTCGGCCCCAGGGCGTTCATGACCAGGGTGCCGTCGCGTCTCTCCCAGTCAAATGTGTCGTTCTCCAGGATGTCGGCCGCCTTCATGCTGTTCTCGAAGACCGACATCAGCAGCTGGAAAAGAGCAACGCTCCACGTCATCCGGGGGCGGCCCCTCAGCCCCGTGACATCACACAGAGCCCAAAGGCCTCACGCCGATCGTCTAACAAGATGCTGTGCATTGCATGAAGCATTAACGGGAATGTGGCGGGGGGCCAGACTAATTCCACATCTACAGTCACAACACAAAAGCTTCATCCATCCATTGATCCCCAAGAAACAAAAGGCACAAAGAAGGGGTCCCCCCCCCCGGACAGGATGCCGGAGACACCAGTTCACCAACTGCATGTCTATGTGATTCAATTTATCAGTCAAATAAATTATATTTGGTTTTCATCCATTTTGCAGCAAGTTAGAAATCAGCCAAACGCCCCTGCATGCGAGTGACTGAAGCTGGTGTTCCTGATACCTGATAGTCAGGCTTGGTGTAGTAGTCCAGCCCGCTGATGTGATCCAGGAAGACGCTGAACTCTGGCGGTAGGTGCTTCAGCATGAGGCTGTGGTCGTATATCTCCTTCATCTTCCCCACCTGCTCCTGAGGGGGGAGGGAGGGCACACAGCTTTACAGCGGAGCCGGGGCTTCCCAGTGATGCTGCGGGGAGGGGAAAGGGGGGGCTCACCTTGTCCTTCAGCTTCCGCCAAGGCAGCTGGCCAGCCAGGAACTCTACCAGCATGTAGAAGAGTGACCAGAGGTCATCATGGCGACCCATCTCCTGTCGAAGTACAGGGAGGACATTTCCAGCTTTGGGTGAGTGGGGGCAGGCATGACGGTGGGTGGGAGTCCCTGGGGGAGTTCCAGAGGCTTACCTTGTTCTTGTGGGCATTGACAGAGGCGTAGCGCACGGTGCCCCGGAAGCCAGCTATGGGACGCGGCTGCCGGATAGGGAGGGGGAAGTGAGAAAAAGCAAAAATAGTCATTCTATAGCAGACATGGAGAAAACAGGCATGGAAACACACAGATAATCACAGACAGACACACACAGATAATCACAGACAGACACAC